CAGAGAAGAGAGATGGAGACAGGAGCAGAGTCGAGCATCCTAAGACATTGTGAAGAACCAAGCAGATATAAAAGCTCTGCATAGTCCAGCGGACATCCATGTTGTACCGTCATCACTGTAGAAAAAAAAAAATCCTATTTGGTCTACAAACTATTTTTAAAACCAAAAACCTGAAAAACTAAGTGTTAAATACAGGGACAATGATTTAAGTCAGATTAAAATACCAAGGTTATTATAATCTTTAAAATTATTGAATGAGTAGTCAGTACTTATACCTTAAAGTTTAGTTAGTTCAAGTAACTTACCAAAATAGCAAAATACATTCTGTTAGGGATGGAACGGTTTATGAAAACCGTCCGAACCGTTCGGTTCGACTGTCTAGGTTCGGCTCGCGTGTGTTGCGTTCGGTTCATGCGCTGCTCCTTTTTCTCATAGGCGAAGCGTTTACACTCCAGAGCAGAAGGTGGCGGTACTGCGACCAAAGCCAACCACCAGTAGTAAACAAGAAGAAGAAGCGAAGCAGCGTAGCCGGGTGTAGCAGAAAAAAATCAGTTGTTGTGGAGAATTGTGTGGGTATGGCGAGTGGGAAAGAAAAGGAGTTGGAAGACGCGCCAGCAGCACTTTATAGGTCTGCTGTATGGGACCACTTTGCATTTAGAGTGACCTACGATGACTGCGGAAAGAAAGTTCTGGATAAAAGTGCAACAGTGTGCAAGCATTGTGCAACACGCTTTGCTTATGCTAACAGCAACATGACCAACATGTCATGCTAACCCTGAAATCTCACATACTCCATCAGCGCTCCGCCCCGCCCCGCTGCGCTCCAGACCGCCTGCACAAAGCAAAGCCTACAGCTCCGCTGTGGCTCCCGTCCGCTCCGCTCTGAGTTCCTTGGAGATCGTAGAGAGCATGCGCCAGATGATTAAATTCAAAGCAGCAAAACATGCGGAAATGATCCAGAGTTTCCGCGGATCATTAAAAATAATTACAATTCATTAATTTTTTTGGATTTTTTTCATTAATTTCATTAATTTTTATTTTTCATTTTATAATTTCTATAAATTTTTTTATTTTTCGGTGTAACAATCATCATATACCGAACCAAACCGAAAACCATGACCACGAAACCGTAAACCGAACCGAATCGTGGATTTTGTGAACCGTTCCACCCCTACATTCTGTACAATGACAGTAAAGTTTATAGTTACTGCAACTAATAGTGAGGTTACTGAGAGGGTTTGGGACTGACATGGAGTGGCCCAGAGGTTAGAGAGCAGAGCCATTGTGTCTTGGAGTGACCACAAAGGTTAAGGTCAGTCTGTCCTTGGATAAGCAAGGGTTCAATAAAAATACAGAGGACTAATTTCCCCACTAATGAGCTCTACGATTCTTCAGTAAGATTTTTAGGGTTTGTTGTTTATTTCTTACATTTTCTAAGTTGCCAATACTTTTACATTATCTGGAAAAAAATCAGCAAATTAAGTTACAATAAGAAAGGATTGAATGGCAAACTTAAAAGCTAAGCTAATATGATTAAGCGGAAGTCCTAAACATTAAATATTGTGGAAGTATGTTATTTCAAAATTTTGAGTTCTGGAAACTTTTCTATTTATTTATTTATTTATTTTAATGTATTAATTATAGTAAAACTTCATTTTAACAGCCTATAAAAGTGTTTGGAAAATAAAAGGGAAGCTTTTATTTGAGTCTTTTTACAAGATTTTCCACCTGGGGTATAAAAGCGAGGTCATCATTCAAATGCCCTAATACAGGGGTCTTCAACGTTTTCCAGGCCAAGGACCCCCAAACTGATGACAAGATGGAGCGGGGACCCCCTAATTATATATATTGTATGAAATTGTGTTATATCAACCTGGTCCTATAGTCACTCTATTACAGATGGAGTAATGTAAGGAAAGTAATTTCTCCCTGGGATTATTAAAGTATTTCTGATTCCTGGTTGATGGGACAGGTGTTGTGAATGAAACGGTGCCCAGCTTGAAAGAGCTCCTGTGTGTCGCTGAATGTGTGCATTGATGACTGAAATACATCTTTTGCCTCCATTTATCTGTTTACTACAGTCTGTTGAATTCATGTTAATGTGGATTTAAAGACATTTCAATTCAGGAGGGAATATTTAAAAAAAAAATGAATCAACCAAAAGTTTTGTGACCCCCATGCAGTATCTCCGCGGACCCCCTAGGGGTCACAGACCCCCTGTTGAAGACCTCTGCCCTAATATCTATAGAGAAAACACAAAAAAATGCATCAATATGACAGAATGGTTTGAAAAGGAGTGGAGCCATTTAAATAACTGTTCCATCTGCATAAAATGGTATGCAGTATGAGCTTTTGCTGATGACCACATCCATGCGCGCGCCGGCTACCGTTCATTCATCCTGTCCGCTTAACTGCTGCTGGTTTTACTCACATGCCTGGAAGATGTCTAGTGCTACTACCGCTGATGATCTCGCTCTTGAAATGGAATTGAACTATTCAGATTACTTGCCGAATTAATATGAGGGGTAGAGCGTAGCCGCCAGTGGCCCCGGCTGCCTGTCACAACTCCAGTCCGGCGCGCGGATGACGTCATACACGCTCCGCTTTGTTTTAAAAAAAGTTAAATATAAAAAATATAACCGTGAATGTCTAGGGGACAGTTATTCGCCTACATGTTATGAATGCTGGCGTACCATAAAGAATAAATTATGAACAGTTTAGTTTGTGCCTTCAACTCATTGCCTAAAGGAAGACGTTGGACTTGGATATAACAAAACCGAATATCTACAGAACGGCTCCAAAACATGAACATGATGTAATAACGTAAAATCAAAAGCCCAAAGTAAAAAACATTCCCCTTTAATGCATGATGCAGTGGACACGGTTAGGTCTGACTGGACTGGAACCTACAGAATAAACATAGGAAGGCTAAAATTAGCCGAGCTGTTTTTATGGTATTAAAATTGACTGGTGTAAATGCAGACAATGCTACACTGCATCGCTGCCTCAAAGTGAATCATTAAATAAGCTGACCTGAGTCTTCTTTGGGGCTTGAATGATGGTGGCAGATTTAAACCATGCTGGCACTATGGTTTGGTCCAGCGAGGTGGACCTCTGGATCCCCAGAAACTTGAAACTGGACACACACTCAAATGTGGATGGTGTCGAGCGTGCCTCTTGACTCTTTTCTACGATGAGCTTGTTCCTTTCAAGAAGAACTGGGTCTTTTCAAGGGTGGGAAGAGTCTAAGAGCTTTTACTGATGGTGAGACTTTTGTTTTCTCAGTAGTCATCAGCAAAAAAAAAAAAAAAATCTTATTTAGATTTTTTAATGGCAAAGGAGTCTTTATTTACGTATATTATCAAATTAATTGTCGCAATAAAGTCGGTGTGGCTGTTTGACTTCCTTTCCTTAGCTTATGAGCGAATAAAATCTGCTAACTCTGGGGAGAAGCAGGGATTATCTCTCCCCTTTACTCTGTATCCTCTCAATGTGCAACTTATGTTGCTCTCTGGAGGCAGAGGTTTTCTCTCCACCATCTTCTGCAGAAGCAGAGGAACAGGGGAAATAGAGAGGGGTTCTGTGGATGAGCCCCTTTTGAGCCACAGCAGTTTGAGTTGATGCTCTCAGAGGTTGTGTGTGGCTGCTCTCTCCTCTAACATACCGTTTTTTAGGAGAGAACCATAAGTAAATATCTAAATCAAACACTCTGGATGAAAAAAAAAAAAAAAAAAAAAAAACTTTCATGTCTTATAATCCACTGACCCAAAACAAATGCCAAACCAATATTTGAGACTTGGACGTTTTTCTTCAAAATTATTGTTTTCTTCTAACAGCTTTAAGGCCACATAACTGACCGACTCAAAATTAATGTCAAACATTATATTATTTTTATAAATATGAGCGTTTTGTCTTCTCGTGAGTGTAGCCTCAAACAGATGTTATTAGCAATCAGTGAAGCATGAAGGAGCTGCAATTTGTAGCTCAAACAAGGACTACCAAAGAACTCAAATACATCCAGAAAAACACCACAAAATAGGAATTAAACCAATAAAACTAGAAAACAAAGAAAAACAAAACATGGATCAAAGTGAATCTAAAAAACACAAAAAGAAAACTTAAACAGATCCAAAACCTTGACACTAGGTCTCAGAGAACAAGTCCAAGTCAAGCCTGAAGTCTTTTATTTTTGCGACTTTAGTGCAACTGGAGCTCAAGTTTTAAACAGGAGCTTCCATATCTGATCCATGGGAGGAGAGAAGGAAGCCCTCAGAAAAGACAGAGCATCAGAGCAACATATCTGGGGACAGAAATATTTAGTTTACCATGTCTTTAAAAACAACATTTAGATCCTGTTTGAATCAGTGTTTGTGTTTCCTTCTGATGCAGAAAGATAAAAAATGTCTTGATCCTCAGTGTCGAAGAGATTATCCAAAATATGATTTAATCATTTCAATTAATTCAGATCAATTCAGCTTTACAAGAGCTAAACTTTCGGTGCACTAGTGACTTGATTAAACAACAGCAGGTAGTAGGACAGAAGAGGTGTGAGGAATAAAAGGATTTTTAAATACTGCAGTGATCAGAAGCGAGAGAGGAAGTGGAGAAAATGGAACCTGGAGAGTTTTTTTCTGGAATCAGTGATAAACAGATTAATTCTCTTTCACTAAGAATTCTCCATTAGAATCAGAGATGGATTGATCCTTTCAGGTTTGCTGATTTTCTACGTTACCATGGTGATCAAACAGGATCAGAGATACAGAATCTCATCCTTCACAGCTGGAACAGGAAACTTTCTGTTTGAAAGGTCATAAAAATGTCTCTAAATCCGACAAGTTTCACCTTTTACAGAAAAATATCAAAGATCTTCTAATTAAAGAGACCAGGAATTCCACCACAGTTTTCAGCCATCTGCATCTGAATCATAGGATCTGCTGATTGCCAAGTTTCCAAAGCAGGACCTCCAGCCTGAAGCTCAGGTCAAACCCAGCAGCTCTCACCTGACCACCAGCAGCAGCATCAGGGAGCCCTCCTTCCACCTCATGTCTCCTCCTGTCCGGACGCTCCGCCGCCTTCAGCACCGCGGACAGCGCTCGCGCTCCAGATGTGCTCAGATAGTGGTGCACAGAGAGTTCGCGGACATTCCGCCGTGACTCCCGGATATTAAGCTGCACTATTGTTTCTCATCACCATGGAGAGGAGCGAGGTCGCGCGCAGCAGCAGAGATGAAGCCAAAGCTGAGAAGCGCACAGATGTTGTGCGCTCCGACTTCACTCTGAGAGCCCCGCCTCTTTCCCCAGCGGTGACAAGCAGCTCAGCCAATCAGAGCTGAAGCTCAGTGCGACACTGACGTATGAATGAAGATCAAAGCTGGGATTTAATCAGCAACTTGGTAGTGAAAGTCAGAGACTCCCCCTACTGAGCCCAGCCGCCATACAATGTAAACATCAACAAAGCAGTCACGCAGGGCGCGCATTTATCAGCCAGCAGGGCCCGGGGCCCCACTGATGAGAGCGACATTCTAACCAATAAGATGATACAACTAATAAAGATTCCGAGTCATCCTGGGAGCAGAAATGTACGGAAGAGGATTGGGGCCAGTGGAAAAAAAAAAAAAAGTTAACTGATTTTTAAATTTAGTTCAGTTTAGTATGGGAAAAAAGTCAGAATTCTGACTTTAATCTCAGAATTCTGACTTTTTTCTCAGAATTCTGGCTTTTTTGTTGTTGTCAGAATTTAGTCAGAATTCTGAGATTAAAGTCAGAATTCTGAGATTAAACCAGAATTCTGAGAAAAAAAAGTCTGAATTCTGAGATTAAAGTCAGAATTCTGAGAAAAAAGTCAGAATTCTGAGATTAAACCAGAATTCTGAGAAAAAAGTCAGAATTCTGAGATTAAAGTCAGAATTCTGAGAAAAAAGTCAGAATTCTGAGATTAAACCAGAATTCTGAGAAAAAAGTCTGAATTCTGAGATTAAAGTCAGAATTCTGAGAAAAAAGTCAGAATTCTGACTTTAATCTCAGAATTCTGATTAAATTCTGACAACAAAAAAAGTCAGAATTCTGAGAAAAAAGTCAGAATTCTGACTTTTTTTTCCATGTTAAACTGAAATTAAATTTAAAAATCAGTTAACTTTTTTTTTTTTTTTTCAGTGACCCTAATCCTCTTACGTACAAATGCTAGAAAAGAAAATAACAAAAAAACGACTGGACTTTAAACAGTCCAACCTGTCTGTGAATTTGGTGCTATTTTAATATGGTAAGGTCATATATTTTTTCTTCTAGATATCTTATTTTATCTAACGCAGGACTTGTTGCTCTATTGGTGAAGCTCAGGACATCACACAGTAACAGGACAAGCTTATGGAATAAAGCTGATTGATCGATTTGATTTTAGCAGTGGTAGTAATTATAATGCAAAAGAGGGTCAATGTTGTTTTTATTCAGTTGATTGAAAAAAAAAAAACTAAGGCAGGGTGTAATAAGACAGACATCATACCATTAAACCTCATTAATTTAAAATAAGACAGTGCCAAGTTATCATCGCAATAACTGAAATATGTCCACATCCATGGACGTCATTTTGTCCATGGATGGGGGGGGGGGGGGGGGGGGGGGGTCAAGGGGGACATGTCCCCTCCACTTTTTCAAATGTCTGTTTTGGTGCCCTGCAAGTTTTAATGTCCAAAATCAATGTACATAACAGTACATAGACATTTGTCGAGCACTTGGACCATGTGGAAAACCTCAGCTCAAACTGAAGCCTGCTTCCCTGAGTTTAAAGCACCCACAAGGACCTGACTGGTCCTCCGTCTTTTCTTGTGTGATTAGCTGTCACTGCAGTCACTCCTGAGAAACATACTTTAGAAACATCTGATGCGCCACTGAATCGGGTCTGTGATTGGACGGTCAAACACGCTAAAATTAGTTATATATTTAAAAAAAATACTTGCATCCCCTTACTTCTGAAATCAAACGTCCACATATGTCCAAGGTCTTACTCCTCTTAAATAAACAGCATATTTCTTCCTTGGGACACTTTCTAGCTCTAGGAATGTTTGGATGTCTACAGCGATCATTGACAGAAGTGAATGGAGTCCTCTTTGTATTATCTTCATTTCCCAACATTTTGTTCTTTGCACTCGCCTCTTCCTTTCCTTTGTGTCCCTTTCTCTCCCTTCAGCACTTTTCTTTTTCTTGAGTATTCCTGTCTTTTTTTAAGGACTACATTATGATTAGTCCTGCAGCACTTCTGCTTTTCTGCAGGCAGTTACATTCCCTGATGAATACATTCATATTTTTTGATCAAAACTGTAAATGACAAATCCATCATGAATTGGAGGTAAATAAGATTCATGGAGGGAACACAAACTTTTATGGCCCTTTAAATGTCTAACACCATTTTATAATGAAAAACTTAGACATGGACAAATGTTATTGTCATCTTGTTTACACACACTGCAAAAATGGTCTAGAAATAAGTAAAAATGTATTAAATCAAGCATGTTTACCCTTCATTTTAGTAGGTAAATGGGATGATTTGCCAATGGAATGAGTATTTTTACTCTTAAAATAAGATTATTAGATAATATCCACTTGAAATAAGACCATGCTGTTGCTTTTTCTTATTTTAAATGTAAATTGTCTTGTTCCATTGGCAAAGTATCTCACTTACCTCCTCAATTCAAGAACAAATGCACTTAGTTTAAGAAAAAATGACTTAATTAGATTTCCATTTTTTTTAGTGCAGAGTGTATACAAAACGAAATAACGTTTTGTTCAGCTTTCAGAATATTTTCATTCCATAAAGTGCATGTCAAGTGGTTCACACTTTTTTGTTTGGTATTTAAACGGCAGGTTTCCACCACTTGAAAAGGCATCTTGCTTCCAGAGATTTCACAGGATTTCACTCAGAACACCAAAGTTTATTCTTTCCTTTTTTCTCTTTTATTTGAAAGTTAAATCAACAATAGTAGCATTGATAGAAGCAGTAGCAGTAGTAGTAGTTGTAGGTGAAAAACCTTTAAACATAAACACAGAGAAACAATGATTAACATCCTTAAAATAACAAAATTGTTCCTGAAACAAAATATAAGATTTTGTTGGGATCTGGAGCTGTACCACCTTCCTCCAGCAGAGTGCGCCGTGGGTCCTCCTGAGCTGGAACCTTCCAACACACCTGAGGCGCATCTCCTCATCAGAAGTCCAGCCCTATATAACCTGCTTCCAGACCTTGCTTCGACGCCGCAGTGTTGACCTAGTTTGGTTAGCGAACTGAGCCTAGTAACCTGAGAATCTTAGCTATCTCTTGATGAGATCAGATTCTAATTCTTCCTTGTTTTTTGCCTCACAGGAATCCTGTCTCTACCTGAAGCTCTGGATGAGCTTAACCTGCCTTGACTGCCCTCGTGAGCCAAACCTGAAGACTCCTCTGTGGATTCCCCTGCAGCTCTTGGCTAAGAGCTGGAAACTCAGATCAAGGTCTGTCCTCAAAGTCAGAAGCAAGACGCTGAAGCAACTATTGGACTCTGCTGAACAAATAGTCTCTGGACCCAACAGTTCTCTCTCTCAAAGTGAAACCCGGACTTCTTCAAGGTATTCATCTGAAATATCAAAGACTCATAACTCATCAGTTCGTTTGCTAACTGAACAATCATCTCTGCAGACTCCAGTGAACCTGCCCATGACCAGTTCCAGTTCCTGTGCAATATTCATGTGCTTGTGAAACAATAAACTCTGTTAAACTTTTTATCCAGCCTCCGTGTGTGTTCTGCATCTTGGGCTAGCTCTGATACCCATCATGACAGATTTAAACCCAAAAAACATTTTCAAAGCATTTTTCAGTGATACATTTTTACATCCTAGTATGAATTTACTTTCTCAAATACATTTTAAAAAAGTCCTCTTTTTTTAAATTTTTCTCAGTATTTTAATATTTCAATCTAAATATTCAAATTTTTGGCTCACCGGCTCCTTCTCTTTAGAACAAACTTTCCTGCAGTGCATTCACCCAGGCACCCTCATAGTGCTCATTGCTGCTTAGTGAGTGTCTTCAGGTTGGGAGACACTCTCTGCTATACTTGGAGGGCGGGGCATGAATTCAGCTCAACAGTGCAGCAGCGGTCACATGTAAACAGTGTGGGTGAAAAAACCTGATGCAAAAACACATTCATATGGAAGTTCAGTGAATTAATAGATTGGAAAAACGTTGCCTGGTCTGATGAGTCTCGAGTCTACAGTATTAGTAACGATCACGTGATTGGGACGGTACAGGATTAAACATTAACGGGAGCAGACGGGAGCGGAAGCAAACCAATAGTAACTAAAAAAAACTAGGATCATGCCTAAAAATAAAGTAAAATAGAAAGGGGAAAAAAAAAACCAGTACTGGCTCTGCCATTTTGTAGTATTTTACCTTGAAGCCTACACTATAATGCGAGTCAAAAAAACTACACGACCCAAAAACCAACAGTGCTTCCGCTCTGAGTTTTTCACCCAGGCTCAAAAACAACAAGAATGGGAGTGGTGCAGGAGCAGGAGTCATTCGGGATGGGAGTGGGAGTAATTTCACCAGGAGTGAGATAGGACAGGATTTAGATTTCTACTCTGGCCCGGGATCGGGACGGGACACAATTTTTTTCTGTTGGAGTGGGACGGGACAGGAGTGAAAATCCACTCCCGTGTCAGTCTCTCTGCTTGTTTCTGTATCTCTGCTTCTGTCTCCTTGAACCCCAGTCAGCCTCATCAGATGGCCGCTCACACTGAGCCTGGTTCTGCTGGAACCAGGTTCTTCCTGTTAAAAGGGAATTTTCCTTTCCACTGTTGCCACAAGCATGATTATTTTGAGGGATTGCTTTCGATTCATTGAGTCGATGTAATCAGCTGGTTCTCCTTACATAGGACACTTTGAACCAATCTGACCGTATGATTTGGTTGAAATGTCTCTGTAAAGTGCCTTTAGATGACATGTGTTGTAAATTGGTGCTATATAGATAAACTGAATAGGGATCGAACATACATGATGGGATAACTAAAATAAATAGCAGCCCACCTTAACACAAAGTATGGCACATTACGCCATCAGGGAATCCACCTCGGTAGTGGTCATGTTTCATTTTTCTTGGCTGATGTTTTAAGTAGCTAACAAACTCAGATCATTCTGATGAATCTTGTTTGACCTTCTCTTGCTGGTAAAACACTCATCTTCCTGGAACGTCCCCCAAATGACTCTTACGAGTACTCAATGATCCATGAGGAAACATCTTTATAATTCATGGGATTTGAAGGTTAATTTCGTGCAGCTCCAGCTACTCTTCCTGATCCTGTAATCTTTGTGTTTTATTGATGATTCTTTGTTTCATGAATTGTTCACTGCCTCAATGATTTTACTTCTCACTAATAAAGCCCTAAATACCAAACTCTGTCTTATATCATGGATCTGATAATTCCTTATGTTCCTAACAGAGCACTTTGCTCTCTATCTGCAGGTTTACTAGTGGTTCCTGTAAATTCTAAAAGTAGAAAGGGAGGCAGATCTTTAAGTTACGTGCTTTAGTCCATGAGGAAGTCACCCTGTCTCCCTTTAAGTGTAGACCTAAAAACTTTCCTCTTTGATAAAGCTTATAGGTTATCCTGAGCTATCTCTACAGTTAAGCTGCTATAAGCTTAGGCTGCTGGATGACATAGGGACCCCTTTTCCTCTTTCTGGTTCATTCCATCTTTATTCTCAATTTCTTAAGTAGTTTTTAGTCAACCCCTAACTTTATTTTTTTTGTACTTTGAGGCAGCAGCCATCAGATGCAACACTTTCAGTAGATGATAGAGTTGGGCCTGTTTTTCAGTGCTTAGTAGTTGCCACCCTTGAGGTGACATGTGGTGGCGCTATATAAATAAACTGAATTGAATTGAATGCTAATCTAGGAGGATTAAATCCTGCATAGTCAATAACTACATGCAATCATCTGTTTTTCCTTAGATAGAAAATCTTGAACCAGTCTGAGTGAATGATCTGATAGAATTGTCTCTATTAACAGTCACAATATGAACATTTGTTATGAATTAGCACAATAGAAATGTCACGATGGGTCTTAGGTTCTTAGCCCACATGCAGAACACAACGGAGGCTGGTAAAAGTTTAACAGAGTTTATTGAGTTATGCACAAAACAAAAGATCATGAACTGGATCAGGAACTGGTCCGGGCTGGTTCACTGAAGTCTGCAGAGATGATAGTTTGATTAGGAAGCAGGCTATGAGTTATGAGTCTTTGATAATTCAAGAGTATACCTTGATAGAGTCTGGGCTTCTCTTTGAGAGAGAGAGGGAACCGTTGGGTCCAGAGACTGTTTGTTCAGCAGGGTTCCAAGAGCAGCTGCAGCGTCTAGCTTCTGACTTTAATGGCAGACCTTGATCAGAGTTTCCAGCTCTTAACAAAGAGCAGCAGGGGAATCCACATAGAATCTTCAGGTTTGGCTCACGAGGGCAATCTCGGCAGGTTAAGCTCATCCAGAGCTTCAGGTTAGAGACAGGTTTCCTGTGAGGCAAAAACAAGGGAGAGTTAGAATCAGATCTCATCAAGAGATAGCTAAGATTCTTCAGGTTCTAGGCTCAGGTCGCTAACCAAACTAGGTCAACACTGCGGTGTCGAAGCAAGGTCTGGCAGCTGGTTATAAAGGGCAGGTCTCTTGATGAGTAGATGCGTTTCAGGTGTGCTGGAAGACTCCAGCTCCAGGAGACCCACGGCGCACTCTGCTGGAGGAAGGTGGTACAGCTCCAGATCCCAACAACAAATAAACAGAATAGAATTGATTACGGTCATTTCTTCGTGAGATGAGTCAGTGATTTCGTTATCAGCTGCTGGGATAGTCCTGATTTTTCCACTCTATAACATGTCTGGCGATGTTTATCTGTCAAAAAGGAGTAAGACCATGGTTTCCTTGTTAGGGCAAAACCTGATTTAAATCTGACACCTTACTTTTCTTTGTTCTGATTTGTTCTTTTTTTCATGATTGGTTGTTTTCTTGTCTTTCTCTCTGCTAATGTGTGTTGCTATGAATTGAGCTTTTTTACTAAATCACTGTGCCAATCAAACTCATCTTACTGTAGGTCAGAGATAAAAAAAAAAACAAACAAAAAAAAAACAGCCAGTGTCTCACTGAAATAGTTAAACCTTTTAGGTTCATGTCTCTGCCTTAAAACCGCAGCCATGACCCAGATTATCATACATCGAACCCGGTGCCATCATCCTGCCCCCTCCAGCACTGATCATGTCACTACCTGTACAGATCACACCTTCCACTCTTTTCCATAAAATCTGCTGTGCATGACTGTGCCTGTCCCACAGATATTTTACATCAGCCCTTTCTTTTTAAAGCACCACCTGAGGGTAAAAAAGAGTCAAACTAGTATCAGTGGCCCCTGGCCCCCCCCTCAGATCTACTCAGTGTTGCAGTAAACAGCCTGCAAGACAGGAAGCATCAATTCTGCCGCCTACTGGGTTTCTCTCTGCCTCCTCAAGGCAAAGGTTGGACTCTGAGAGGATGAAACATGGCGCCACGGGTCGCAGCAGCAACAACAATAGGACCCATATGTGCTCCGACCCGACAGGCTTAGAATCTTCCCAGGTAAAATACTTTTATTTCTGGAACAGGATGAATATTGTTTGCTGTACAAAACAAAATGTATTTTTTGTATACACTATGTATACAAAATGACAACAAAAGTTGTCTACGTCTCAGCAAAAAGCTTTCAGCTAAGAGCAGGACTGGTTCTGCAGGCTTGTTTGTGTTTTATTATGTCCTTGGTGTGACCAATCATAGGTCCTCCATCGCAGATGATTGGTTTATCTCTGGACGCCTGCAGGTTTCCTGACCTCCAGCAGTTGATCATTTTCACTGCATCTTCTCTTAATTCCTGTGTGAAACAATTGCTGTTGCTTTCATGCAGCGTTTTTCTGTCTTACTCAGTGACTCTAATGAGCAGATAGGTCCAAACGCTGGAACTGACCTTCCTCAAAGGGAGAGATGACACTCTGTTCTCCAGCAATGGGCTCTGCTCAGCCCTCTGCTCCCAGGCTGAGATCAGCTCCCCCTCTGCTTATTGTTATAGTTACATAAACTCTGAGGTACGGAAGAGGATTAGGGCCACTGAAAAAAAAAAAAAAGTTAACTGATTTTTTAAAAAAAATTTTTAGTTTAGTATGGGAAAAAAGTCAGAATTCTGACTTTAATCTCAGAATTCTGACTTTTTTCTCAGAATTCTGACTTTTTTCTCAGAATTCTGACTTTTTTCTCAGAATTCTGACTTTAATCTCAGAATTCTGACTTTTTTCTCAGAATTCTGACTTTAATCTCAGAATTCTGACTTTTTCTCAGAATTCTGACTTTAAACTCAGAATTCTGACTTTAATCTCATAATTCTGACTTTAATCTAAGAATTCTGACTTTTTTTCTCAGAATTCTGACTTTTTTGTTGTCAGAATTCTGAGAAAAAAGTCAGAATTCTGACTTTAATTTCAGAATTCTGAGAAAAAAGTCAGAATTCTGACTTTAATTTCAGAATTTAGAGAAAAAAAGTCAGAATTCTGACTTTAATTTCAGAATTCTGAGAAAAAAGTCAGAATTCTGACTTTAATTTCAGAATTCTGACTTTAATCTCAGAATTCTGAGAAAAAAGTCAGAATTCTGACTTTAATCTCAGAATTCTGAGAAAAAAGTCAGAATTCTGACTTTAATCTCAGAATTCTGAGAAAAAAGTCAGAATTCTGACTTTAATCTCAGAATTCTGACTTTAATCTCGGAATTCTGAGAAAAAAGTCAGAATTCTGACTTTAATCTCAGAATTCTGAGAAAAAAGTCAGAATTCTGAGATTAAAGTCAGAATTCTGAGAAAAAAGTCAGAATTCTGACTTTAATCTCAGAATTCTGAGTTTTTTCCCATACTATACCGAAATAAAATAAAAAAAATCAGTTAACTTTTTTTTTTTTCCCAGTGGCCCTAATCCTCTTCCGTACTGAGGAGAGTTGACCTGCTATCCCCGATCAAATGATAGTTTCCTTCTTCCAGGTAGGCTGAGCCGGGTTCATCTGGTGAGCTTCACCGCTGCACCTCAGGCCCCTGCTGTCACTGTGAATCTCATTCAGTCTGTGACCGCCAGCAGCCTCAGAGCATCAGAGAGGCTGTTTGTGTTTGTAGGTGGAGATCATCGTCTCTACACACCTTTCATGGCCTTTTCTGTCCAAACCTGTCAAATCGCATCTTTCCGGATTCCTAAGAAGGAGTTCCCTCTGAAGAGATCATTTACAGAAGTAACAACAACAAAACAGCTGACCTGTAGGCGTATAATGAAAACTAAACTGTTTAGAAGTTAGAAAGAAGATAGAAAAGTAATTTCCAGTTAATGCTTTTCGACATAGATCTAGAGCAAGATGAGGCTCTCTGCATCCTTCCTGAAATCAGGCCTCGGCTCTGTTCAGCTTAGTGAGGATAATCGAAGAGGCGGTTGGCTTTATGCTTGACTGTCTGTGAAGATAAAGAGTTTTTTCACAGATCTGCTTTCTGCAGAACTCTACGGTAACATTATGAACATTAACGTTATGAAACTGAACACCATGTGGTAAAATGACCCACAGTGTGTTTTATCTACATCAGTTAATTTCCGCAGATTTGTCTGTAACGAAATGATTCCTTAGAGTCCCAGGACTTCTAACATATTTGACCTGGAAAAAAAAAACAACATAAAAAAACACAACACATTTCCTAAAAGGTTCAACTTGGAGACTTTTGTTTCTCATTGGCTTTTGAATTAATTAAAAAAATTTCACTCCTCATCTTTACAATTAAAAACCAAGAACATAATACAGTAATTCACAGCAGTAGCTCCTTCAGTTTTCATTAGCAGAGTGAGAGATTGTCTGTGTCAAAATTAAGTTACTTTCAGCATTAATAGCAAATGATTGAAAACTTAATGATTAGATGGATTATTAGGCTTAAAGGAAAATTCCGGTTTTTAACACTTTTAGCCCATTTTCTGTAGTGTCCAGGATGAAATCGAATGATCGACACCAAAATTTTGACAATTGCTCCTGTCTCTGCTATTTGGCTCATGCAGAATCCACCCCTGGCTGCTTCAGAATGGCTTCCATTGTGCATGTCCGATAATGTCCTTAAAACAACCTTAAACGTTCTTTTTTTAAAATATGCTACTCACCGGGTCATCAGCGCTGTTCAATGACGTTCCAAAAAAAGTTTCGTAAAGAAAAAACGTTCCTGTAGTGTTTTATTTAGCATTTTGTAAATCCCATTGAGTTCTGTTGGAATAGTCAATATCCCTCCGCCACCGGAAACAGAAATGGGGCCTGTTTACACTTAGTTGTAGTCTTTTCGCTTCACTCTGTGTACTCCGACGTCGAGGTGCTAACGTCTCTGTTAAACACTTTAAAAAACTCTGAAAATGGAATACGAAAGGTGGATTCTTGAGGAGGACATATTGGACTTTGAGTTTGGCGGTAGAGGATACCGTTTTGAACCGGAATATACTGAGGAGGAGTATATAGAGACATTGTCGCCAACTAGTGGTCTGGAGTGTGCAACGCTTCAGATTCGAACGGGAAGCGGAAGTTTATAATCGGTTGTGATGTATCGGAAAAAATAGTTCTGGGATTTACAAAATGCTAAATAAAACAAGACAGGAACGGTTTTTCTTCACGAAACTTTTTTTGGAACGTCATTGAACAGCGCTGACGACCCGGTGAGTAGCATATTTTAAAAAAAGAACGTTTAAGGTTGTTTTAAGGACATTATCGGACATGCACTATGGAAGCCATTCTGAAGCAGCCAGGGGGGGATTCTGCATGAGCCAAATAGGAGAGACAGGACCAATTGTCAAAATTTTGGTGTCGATCATTCGAATGCATCCTGGACACTACAGAAAATGGGCTAAAAGTGTTAAAAACCGGAATTTTCCTTTAAAGCCCCAGTGTGTGAGATTTACTGCCATCTAGTGGTGAACTGGATCAATTACAACTGACCGAGAAATGGGTTCTGGCGCCTTTTTTTTTTTATTATGTGATTATTGCTAAATGTGACAATGTCAATATCCTGCAGGGTTTATTTGCCCTGTCAGGTGACGAGGTACAGAACGATACATAATTTAGTTTCTTCTATTAATGAGTTACAAACTGCAAAATTTTCTCTTGTTCCATGTTAGCTTATTTCAGCCGCTTTATTAAGGCAGGTGGGCCACATATGGATTAAACATCTAAAGTTATCTGAGATATTGTTTAGTATTAGAATATTTTTTGCAGCTCTAGTGATTTTTTTCTGATTAGGGGGAAGACATCAATCCCCCTCTATAAAATCTCTTGGAAACACGGTTGTGTAGGATTTCTGTGAAGTAGCAAAACTTTTGGTTCCCCTTAGATGTTTCTTTTTTCTCTTTTAAAACAGCTTTTATTATTTGATTTTATATTTTTTATTTCATTTTATATATATATATATATTTTTTTATCCATTTTATTTCTTTTATTTCTACGTATTTCTTTTTTAATGCTTTTTTAAATGCTTTTTTGTAGCACTTTGAGGCCTTTTTGGTGAAAAGTGCAGTATAAATTAAATGAATTATTATTATTATTATTATTATTATTATTAAGAATAATAGCAGTTGATAGCTGTTGAAGCAGAACTTTTCCATTGTCAGCTAATAAGCAAACTAGACTAATTGTCGGACAACACTGCCCCGTTTCTACCTCACACTGGGCAAAGAGAATAGATGGTCCTCCTTTTCAATAGAGAACAGCAAATAGAATGATTTACAGTCATCTTTGTTTACTTTATTCTCCTCCCCCATCAACAGCTTGTCTTCATGTACACGGAACAGTTGTAAAGCTAACAAGTTTTTTCATTTATGGCCCTTTTTGACATTGTCCAATGGGTGAACCACCATGTATCTATAAACAACTCATTCTAAGCTATGGTAACACCTACATTTTTTGCAAATAAAAACTAAATTAGTTACAAAGTATCCTATGTTATGCAAAATAAACATCTTTGAAACAGTAATATGTGTCCTGAAGCCTATGTATGAGGTTCACCAATAACCAAAACCCGCTTCACCTCTCTAACTGCCTTTCTCCACCTCTTAGCTAGTCTAGTTAGCTAGTTTGAGCCTCTGTGCTCAAAATGCTCTCTTTCTAAACTCTGCCCTTAATGATATCATGTGGGTATTAACAGTCTAGTTAGTTCCTCACAGCAGATAGAGGCAGTAGCACCTCTGGTCAAATGGCTACTAGTTCAACTAAAGGGATTTCAGCCGTTAATTGAAAAACGGCTGAAAATAATTTGTCCGTATTTCAGATGGAATAAAAAAATGTGTATTATTGTTCTTAACAACATAAATGAATGGCAATGACAGGTTATTTGGTCAATCTGCTCCTTTTATGTGTATTGTTATAAGCTGCTCAGAACGGTCTGTAGAAGCCCATCGGTCAAGCTCCAGCCTTTTTCTTCTGTATTATATCAGTCCTCTAGCCATCATCATTAAAAACTCTGACTGGTTGTCATGGTTGTGGTCTGTGGGGGCCGCAGCTTTCAGGAGACAAGGCATGGAAAGCCGAAAGACTTTGAT